TAACGTACGTTACGTAACGTTACGTACGTTAACGTACGTACGTTACGTACGTTACGTTACGTACGTACGTACGTAGTACGTAGTCGTAGTAGTGTGTGTGTGTGTGTGTGTGTGTGTGTGTGTGTGTGTGTGTGTGTGTGTGTGTGTGTGTGTGTGTGTGTGTGTGTGTGTGTGTGTGTGTGTGTGTGTGTGTGTGTGTTTGTGTGTGTTGACAGGGGAATTGCATTACAGACACAGCACCAGCCTTACTCCCCTCTCCCTTTAATACTCTCCTGTCACTTTACTACATCCATCAAAGACTCTGTTTCTCTCTCGCTCTCTCTCTCTCATTCACACACATACAGACACACTTAACAATATAAACACAATGCCATTAATCTGCACTATGGTTTGCAGTCACAGAGCAAACACCATTCTTTATTAAATCATGTAACACGCTCACTTCAAACCGCATAGAGACTAAAGCTCTGAATCGTATCTACAATCTTCACTCAATCTTAAATCACTTTATATAAAGTACATTACGTTCATTAATAAACTCACAGTCGAGTGTTAACCACCCACCACTCATTCTATTAATTTTGTTCCTCATTATGGTAACAAACTAAGTGCATTTTCTTCTGCTATATCTGGCACTGCATTGGCATCATTATTTAGTGACAGAGAAAAACATGTTTTGCTCTGTCATTGTGCACAATGCTTATTGTGTAGTCAAAATGCTAAGCTAGAGAAAGAGGAAACAGTGCGAAAGAAAAAGGAGAAAGCAAGTTTAGTATGTCTGCTGTGTCCTGGCCTAAATGGCTTTCTGCACCCAGGGAGTTGTCCTTTAGTGTGCATCACATTTATACTACGTAATAAAGTGAGGTGAATGTATTAAAAGCCCAAAACGAGCAGCTGGTCTCTATGGCCAGAACCTGCACCCAAGTGAGACTGATGCTGTCCTTCAATATTTTCCCTCCAATATTTCTCCCTCCCTCTCTCTGTTTCTCTCTCTGACCTTCTGTTATGCCCACGGTAACTCTAGAGGCATTATGGGTACCAGGGGAGTGTGAAATTAGCTTGGCCGGTCAGCAGCCCGCCCATCGGTTCCTGTGGAACTCACCATCACTTCCTCTTCTGTGCGTGTGTTGCCAGGGTTCAAAAGCTCTGCCAGGCCTCAGTAGAAGTTTAGATGGCGACAACAGAGAGGATACAGACAGAGGCTCATTAACACTAGATCAGATGAGGGAAAGCAACAAAGCTAACCAGTACAAATGAAAGCAGAAAAGTGTGTGTAAAACATCTCTGTAGTTAACATTATAATAGGACAAGAGGCTTGCTGGTGATATGATAAGGTGACACATTTCGTAACAGGTTAATTGGCTACTTAGCATGATGTGATGTCAATACAAAGATAATTAATCATCAAGAGGGCTCTGTCTGACAGTGTCAGATATTGGGTTATTAAGCATTGCACCTTAAACATATTACTCAGTCTTGGTTTGGAGAGGAAGCTAAAATAGATTGGAAAATATTGTGTTTCTAAGCAAAGTAGGATATTTTTCAATTTCAGTTTGTAGCAGAAAATTCACATTTTCAACAACCTGCCTTGTAATGTCATTGTAAAATGACTTTTTTCCAATATCTATTAATTAAAATATTTTTTTTGCATAACATCTGACTGGTTAAGGCAGGGGTCTGCAACCTTTTTGACCAAAAGAGCCATTTTGCTCCTTTTTCCCCAAAAAGTTTTGTCTGGAGCCGCAAAACATATTTCATAGCTTGATAGCTAATAAATTTGTATTTATTGTTATATCAGACAAAAACTACAGTTTTTTTGCATTTATTAGGCTATTTATTACATTATATAAAACTGTTAACCTCTAATAAGAAAAAAGAATAAGGAGAATTAAAAATAATACACAGGCCTACTTTAAAATAAATTAAACACAGCACTTGGGGAGTCCTCTGCCCATTTGAAGGAAAAATATAATTAAAATGGGCCCACTTTGAAATAAATTAAACATATAGCTGCACCCTAAAAATAATTAAAGGTAGGGTAGGTAAGAGACTGCCAAGGCACACGAGTGCGCTAGAATTTGAAAATACACAACCGGAAAAAATCTGCCTCTTCCTTTAGACTTCCTTAAAGAGTCCCTCCTCCAACACACACAAACGCGCACATGACCAATGAGGCCACGAGATAAGTTTGTGCACAGATGGAAGGCTGATAGGCAGGTAGGCCATCCAGTTATTTTAGCCGGGCCGGCTCAGATGATTGGTCGTGCTTTTTACAGTACTACGGCTTCCACAGATTAATTTTTGTATGTATTTATTGTCAAAGCATTTAATATATTCATTGCTATCGGGATGTTAAGAGCATTCCATGGAATATAACAAAAAAGTGTTTTCTGAAATAAATGACATACCCCATTGAATTATGACTGAAGATCTTCAGCTGTCTTCCTCTCCCTTGTTGTTCCTCAATACGTAAAGGCTGCAGCACCTTTGACAACTTCTCTCTACATATCAAACATACCGGTAAACCAGCATCGTTTGCTGTGAAAGCATATAACTCTGTCCACACAGAATTAAATCCTGTGTTCCTCCGGTACTTTTCTTTGATTTATCCATAGTTCGCTCATCGAGCCGGGGGTCAGGTTATTCACACAACATAACCTCAAACATGTTGTCATATAAGGTCGTTGTGGTAGCTTGTGGTGTCAGTAGCAATAAACGCTTTTATTTCCTGCTGTTGTGCTATAGGACCCCCGTTGTGATGTGTAATATCAACATTAAGCCGACGGTGGTGTCCAGCTCCTTCACCTTTTAAATCTCTGTTTTTTGCTGTTCTCCTTACCTCTGTTTGACCCTTTATCCCCTCTTCTTCCTTTGAATTAGTCACACCAGTGGCTGTTTTTGTGTAGATTATACACAACGCGTTAAGACAGCCAAGGGCTGAGCTACACAGAGAAGAAACGAGGACAGGGATAAAGAGGAAGGGGAGGGGGAGAGTTGAACCTCATCAAAGCAGGACGCAACGGTATTGGTTTGTGCATGTGATAATTTGTGTCAGAGGGTGATACTGATAGGCTAATGGTGATTTTCGTTTTGCAGTTCACAACATGCTAGTAGCTTATCTACATGAAATACTCTCAAGTATCTCTTGCCAGTAGTATCTCCAGTTTGTGGCAGCAGTAGGATAATATGCTGGCGTTGATGTCTCTCTTTCCACTTTCTCATCTCATCTTGGGTATATTTCGAGATGTTCTCGCCCCAAGGCCATACTGGATGTTATCCATCCGGCGTCTTCCCTGGGGTCTCTTCCAGGTTAACATGCCCATGAGGTTCAATTTGAGCCCCTTCTGCATATTTAAGCTTTCCTTGACCTGGAGGGTGAGCCCCAAGACCCTGAAGAGGGGAAACTCATTTTAACTTCTTGTATGCATTTTCTCCTTCTTTCTTTTAGTTCCCAGAACTCAAGACCTTAGGTGAGAGGTCAAAATCAGATCAACAGAGAGAAATTCCTTTAGGCTCAACTCCCTCTTCACCATGACAGCTCAGAACAGCAATTAAATCACTGCAGGTGCCATATCAATACACCTGTCAATATCAGATTCTGTTTACCCTTCAATTTGATTGGGAGTAAATCATAAGTCTGTTTTCAAGCCCTAAATGGCTTAGGCCTTATGGAGCTTTTCCACTGCAGGACCTAGCACGGCTTAGTACGGTATGGTTAGGCCTTGGTAGGCCAGGCTCACTTTATGCTGCGTTTCCATTCGTACTAAGCCGTGCTAG